AAAATTTGAAGCTTTTTAAAAAAAAAATTCTGAAACAGCCAATGTTAACGGAGGCGTAAAGTATCGGTAAGGAGAGACGTTGCTACGCGATGGGGGCTGTTGTGAAAAGGCGCAAAATCGTGGGTGTATCTGTACGTCCTGTAGCCTGGCCTGAACATCACGACACGTGTGCGGTGTGCGGTGACGGGATAAAAGCCCTGTTAAAGCCTAAGCATGCCACGTAACGGGACTGTCGCGCTGTAGCTTTCCCGCTGCCGCAGGGAATTATATTTTCTTTTTCTTCTTTTGTTGTTGGTATTGCCGCGGGGAAATTACGCTATTTGAAATTTGAGTTGAGATTGATTTCGGATTTAATTTGCCCAAATCCAATTCGAATTTTCCCGCTAGGTAGTAAATTTTGTGTATAACATTACACGTAATTTTAAAGGGAGTTGATTTTTTCCCTTTAATTTTCTCAACTTACATTATCTTTTGCTTTTTAATATTTTTTAATCAATCTTTTTCCTTTTTATTCTTTCTTTTTCCTATTCTATCGTCATTATATATTAATTTCTTTTTAGTTCACTTTTATATTATTTCTTTGGTTTAAATGTCGAAATAATCTATGTGTTTTATCATGTTGGCCAATTTAGTTCATGTGTTTTATCATGTTGGCCAATTTGATCCTTGTGTTCAATAACGTTAGTTAATTTAGTCCGTTCCGTTAAAGTTACCGCTAAATGAACATGATAATCTTTTTTCATTTTATTTTTAAAACCTATAAATCTTTTTGAAGTTAATAAATTAAACTAAAATATATCATTAGAAAAAAGAAAAAATAAAAACTTGAAAGAAAAAGAAAAGAAGAGCGTAGTCTAGTCGGTAATGGGAGGAGCTGCTCAGCGGGTGGAGAAGTGGGAAGGACCATTGCAGAGGCTTTTATTATATATATTAGAAGTGGGTGGATTGGAGTTAGGGAGGTGAGCGTGGCTTGGAGAGTTGGGGCCTTTGGGTGTCTGCGGGGAAAGTGACTAGGGGTAGAGATTGACAGGGTTGCTGGGTTGTTCCCACTTCTACAATGCAGGTCCTCCCCTCCCCGACTACGCCCTGTTTTTTTTTTGTTTTTTTAAATGTTTAATTCAATTTTTTATTAACTTCATAAAGCATTATAGGTTTTCTAAATTATATATATATATTATCATGTTCATTTAACGACATAAAGAAAAAGAAATAATATAGAAGTATAAAGAAAAAGAGAATGGAGTGCAAGTTGGAAAATTAAGTATACGGAAAAATAAATAATATACAAGTGAAGTAAAAATAAATTAATGTAGGATAATGGTAGAATAGGAAAGAGAAATAACAAAAAATAATAAAATTAATTAAAAATTATCAAAAAGCAAAAGAGAGTGGAAAAATCAATTCCCATTTTAAATTATCTTATTTATCTTCGCCTACTATATATTCGTCGTGTATTTTTACTCGCTATGCTTCCACCACTTATATAGTCTTGAGATATATTTTATTTTTAATTCATATATCACCCGATTTTCTTATGCAAATGCATTAATGTGCATCAAAGAATTGCTCCTCATGTATGAGAAAATATAGCATATTACAATAGTATGACCAAATGGTACATCTTGTGCACGTGTTAATATAGGTGGACAACATAGTTTATTTTGCCCAATTTTAGGGATCAATATTAATAACTATGAGAAAATTTTGTATATTTCTGAATACACCACGTGGGCTGGTGTACCTTCCAATACACATGGGTGAATACTTCTTAACAATTTTGCTAGTTCACACAATTTTGCTAATGGGGTGAACCATTGGATTTGGCCACAATTTGGCCCAAATAAGACACATAATTAAGCAATATTAAGACAGTCCATATAGTTTTATGCAAGGGAATTATATATTTTTATTTTTGTTTTGCCAAAGTTATGAATGAGAGGGGGGAAAACTCACACACAATGGCGGAACCATGAATTTTTGTAGGGGTGGGCTAAATTTTTTTTGGTCATGGGGGCAGATCTTCCTCGCCATCACTCATCTTGGCTTGATCGTAAAACCTCAATACCCACAATCCAAACCAAGATGAAATTGACCCCAAAAGAACGTATTTCCCATTATTTTTTTGTCAACACCTACGAATTCATGACAGCTTAAACAGAGGGAGAAACTGAAAGAGAAGGAAATAACCAGAGAAAGGGAAGAGGAGATGAAGAAAAATTAATAGAGAAAAGGAGAAACATGATAGGTGTTAGAGTTTTTTTTATAATATAAATATTTTAGATAAACTTGATAGGTGTTAGAGTTTTTTTAATTATAATTTGGTTTCTTTTGTGCTCGAAACGTCAGCACAAATCACAAAATGCTTTCCCATTAAATCATGAACCAACACGTGTAGAGTTTGTTTGAAGAGGTGTGTCTGTGGTGTAGAGATTGGTTGCATTGATGGGCTTATTTCTACCTAAAGCGGCAAATATTTGATTTACCCTAATTTGGCTTGTAAAACTAAGCTTATATGCAGAAAATAAAAAAACAACACTGGGTTGGAGTCCAGTAGAGCCTACACGTGGTTCCGCCCTTGCTCACACATACGAGTACTATTGGAGTTTGAATCCAATAACATTTTGGAGCATACCAAAAACCTAAGTCAATCCAACTAGCTAACGCCCATTAGTGAATTATGATTATATATTCAACCTTGTATAAGGGTTATCAACTAACTATCTATTTGTGTAATGTTATATCTCTTTTGAAATTTTCCCAAAGTTCAACTCTACCCTCCCCAAAAGTCAACAGATACACACGACAAGTTAAGTCTCCATAGTTGTGCAACTCCAAACTGCAAGTATTATACATTCAAAGCACATATATTTAAGTCTCCAAAAACCATGTTCCAACTCCAAGAATTGATCGTCTCTCTCCTTATTCGTTTCAAGACAGACAGAGGTTTAGCAACGTGTGCAAATTAACAAATACAAAAGAAACTATACAGAACATCATCAGAAACTGATCATTTTATAAAACTAGTGACAATATTTAAGCTTAATTGTCTTCTTAACGAACATAGTTTTTATCTAAGTACTTGTGTATCTATGTCATGTCCCCTCGTCAGCTAAACAAGGAAGACAATCCTTGCCCTGCAGCTGGGTACGAAGTTGCTTTCGTTTGTGGTTACGTTATCATAATCGAACCAAAACTTTATAATATAAACAATACATATGCAGTAGATGAAACATAAGCATTGCACAAATATAATATATCATGTTAAAATGAGTTTTTGAATAAATATCTCTAAATATGTATTGGTGTCGGGATGTAGTAGATAGCTACAGATGATCATGAATACGACGTCGTGCCTGCAGCTCCATGTAATTTAAACCCTAAATATTAAAGTCAGAGTAATTAGGGGTTTTTTTGTGGTGTACGTGGTTGGTCTAATTAGCAAAGAAATGGACGTGGATAAAAAAATTAATGCAGTTGATACGCAATTGGGTTCTGCACGGGCACTGATTTATAATAAGATAGTAGCTGCAGGCCACATATAATAATAATAATAAATAAATAAATAAATAAATAAACACATCTCTCATTCCTGTACTTGCAAAAATTCAATGGATGTGTCACAAGAATGTCATATTAATTATTGGCTTTGCTTTATTGGTTCGTGCTAATTATTTTTCAAAGAAAGTCCCCACCTTTTAAAAAGAAATATGGGGAAATGATTTTATTTCTCAATCAATCAACAAGCTTCACTCACCCTGTTATTCTCGTGTGTACGCGTAATTGAGAAGGAAAAAACAAGAAAATAAAGCCACGTGATATTATAATTACACGTGGCCTCATTTTCAATGTGATTATTAATTAATTAGATGCCCTAACCTTTGCTTTTTACATAATCATAATGTGATATAAAAGTGCAATTTTATGTGGAGAAATTATGGTAGTGAATTATTATCTTCGTATACATCATAAGTTAAACGTTGATAATACTCTTTCTATTTAAAAATAAAAATAAAAACCATGATAATACTCTTAATATATAAAAATAAAACTTGATTTACCCCTTTGAGGAAGCGAAAAGATCATTATCCTCTTTTTGCAATTGTCCAAAATAGAGGGTGTTGGTATTCCTTAGGGAAAAAAATGAGTTATTTTTGCATGGTCATTTTATGTTTTACCATAATTTAGAGACTATTGAAATGCTTTAAATTTGCTAAGATATATATTTTTGCTTTAAATTTTACCCTCATGCTGATAAACGTTTTGTCAGAAGCATTTTTATTAAAGTTATTAACTGAGAAAATCACTTGAAAGTATTTACAAATAAAACATATCCACATTTTTAAGTTTTGTTTTTTTGAGGATCTTTCATATTGAGAGGGAACGATAACATACTAAACTCACTAAACTCGAACCCATGACATGGAGAGAACATCTACTTCAAACTACTACGTTAGTGGATTTTTTCAAAAATGAAGTTGAAATGGATGATATATTTTTGGGGTAGATAAAACACATTAAATGTTAGCTTTGAATTGAGCGAAAATTCACCGACTGGTGTTGGTGGTGTATATATAATGCAGAAGTCTTCACAAAACAATACCTTGTTCAGACTGCAAAAGCTTATTTTGACTGGTCTGGATCTGGACCACAGTATTAAATTCTGATAAGAAAAATAAAAGACCATAGAATTAAACAATCCCTAAATAATAATAGTAAGAATATATTGTTTTTTGTCAAGAAATTTTGTTGGTGGGAGTGGAGCTGGGGAAATGGGGACAGAGACCTGCTCTTTTTCTCTTTTTTCTTTTTCATTTTATGAAACAAATTAAAAAAAAACAGAGACTAAGATCTTGATTTTGATTGGGTGAGAGTTAAATATACTCTCTTTTTCCTTTTTTTCTCTTTTCATTTTCTTCTGTGGAGAAAGTAGGAAGGAAGCTTGCCATTTGTTTCCTTTATGTCTAGATCGAGATCAAGGCTGTCAGATTGTGCCTCCATCCATGGCCAAATCTAAGGTCAGAGAAAGAGAAAAAGAAGAAGCAGAAGCAGAGGAGGTTGGTGGTGTTATATCAAGCCCGGCCAAAAGCCCACACGCTTGCCATTTTGTCTGTGGTTCTAACAGCACATACTATTTCTTCACCACCTCCATCTCTCTCTTGTTTTTCTCTTTCTTCTCCTTCTCCGAGGCTTCTCGCTCCATCCCAACACCCACTCTCTCTTCCTCTTATTCTCCTACTACTTATACCACTGCTTCTACTTCAAAAACCCACCACGTTGACTACACCATTATCATCATTCTCACAGTCTCCTCTGCTGCCTTCATCGCATTTCTCCTTGTTTCAGCCATGGCTGTGCTCAGGTGCTTCGGCTTCAAACTAAAACGCAAGCAAACCCGCGTCACTACCAACAGTCTTAGCAGTCTTGAAGGCATCAGCCACGAGATGATGGGGCGGGTGAAAGTGGGAATTTTTCTGTGAGGAAGTTGAGTTGGGATGAGATTGAAAGATCCACCAACAATTTTTGTAAGGTGATCGGATCTGGAGGGTACAGTAATGTCTACTTGGCTCGTAACCCATCTGGTTTTTGGGCAATTAAGATCAACAATGGAAGCGAACGCCTCAATCAAGTTTTCAAGCAAGAACTCGATATCCTCCTCCACCTTCAGCATCCCCACATCGTCAAGCTTCTCGGCTACTGCGATAAACAAGGTCATTTTGTGTTCCAAATTAACCCCTTAAAGATTTCAGTGTTAAAAATGCCATCTTGTTTTCTGGGCTCGATTCAAATTGATCACATAATTTATTTATATCTCTGCTTTTGTGTGGAACAGAGGAGGGTGCTCTGGTTTTTGAGTACGTTGCCAATGGAAACCTACAAGACAAGCTTCACGACGGAGAATCAACCCCTGTGCTGCCATGGAGGAACCGCATGGCGATCGCCTTCCAAATCGCACAGGCATTAGAATACCTCCACGAGAAATGCCCTCTTCAGATTGTTCACATGGACATCAAAGCCTCCAATATCTTGCTCGACCAAGATCTCAATTGCAAGCTCTGCGATTTCGGGTCGGCGAAGATGGGGTTTTCCTCGACGGTCCGGCCGCCGTCGTCGTCGATGAAAAGTCACGTCTTGACGATGATGGGCTCGCCCGGGTACACCGACCCGCACTACCTCCGAACCGGGATCGCCTCGAAGAAAAACGACGTATACAGCTTCGGCGTTTTGGTGCTGGAGCTTGTGACGGGCATGGAGGCCTTCAGCTCGGAAAAGGGCCAGTTTTTGACATCGTTGGTGGGGCCCAGGCTGAGGGACGGCGGCGCTGACGTGGCGGAGGCGGCGGGGATGGTGGACCCGCGTCTGGGCGCGGCGGGGTTTGACGTTGAAGAAGCCAAGACTATGCTTTCGGTTTCGGCCACGTGCTTGCAGCAGTCGCCCACACTGAGGCCTTCGGCTGCTCAGATATTGCAGACAATTCGTGAGAAAATTCCATCTGTTTCGTTTCTACAGTCGCACCAGAAACAAATCATATACTAATTGAGTGATTTGATTGATTGATGGATCGATCCCAACCGTTGATCTGGACGACCTTGGTGAATTGGCTGTATAGAAATGTAAATTGGTGTCTGGTTTTATTTTGTTTTAGTGTAAAAGAAAGTTTTAATAATGATTCTGATGTAAATTTGCATTCACCAAATTTGTAGGGGGAAATGAAAGATTATATACACAAGATTATATGTTTATTTTGGTGCTTTTTCCTTTTTGGCTCTTTTTTCTTTTGAGTTAATGTGTTCATATTCTTTGCAAAAATTTGTAATTATTTTCTTATTTATTTAGTAATTAAATTTGAACTCATGGCCCCTCATTCAATGAAGGGCACAAAATCTCCAATCATATAAGTCTGTTCTACACAATGTTGGGGTGGAATGGTTAAAATGAGGAACATAAAGCTAAAAATAACAAAGTAATTAGAAATTAAATGAATAATTCCTCAATAATTATTGTAGGTGAGCAAGGAAATAATATTACGTTAGATTTTTCTTTTGGTCGGATAATATTATGTCAAGCCCACGGGAAAATTCAGCCTGGGCAAGGGTTGGGTCCTCATGAGCCCAGGCAAGCTCACAGGCAAATTCAGCCCGAGCTGCTGTATGGGCAAAATGACACAATGCTGATGTCATAATGATGTCAGCAACAACAAAAAATACAATTTTTTTTTAATTTTATAAATACCCAATTGTATTCTTTACTTCCCACACCAAAAACTCTATACAAATTCATCTCCTCATATGTTATGTAAATAGTAATTGCCCTTACCCTTGCCTTTTGGGGTGGAATAAAAAAAGACAAGGGTATCACTATTCATGTGAATATTGTGAATAGTGACAAACTTTGCCTTGCTTTTGTTTTATCCTTATCTTTTGGGGTGGATGTGCTCTAATAAGAAAATAGGCAAATTGGTCCAAGTGGAAAGGGCTTGGATCCTTTAAACAAGAGGTCCTAGGTTCGATCCCAGGCGCTTGCGAATAGAGCAGACTTTGTTGGGAGAGGTCCCCGCTTTGCGCCCGACAGTACCTCGAGGGTTAGTCCCCGCAATCGCGCAGGGGATACCTTGGTTTTCACCCCAAAAAAAAAAAGGCAAATTGGTGTGGGCTTGTGATATGATTGGGCTTCTCTCAAGCGCAAGTAAAATTGGCGCCCTCGTTTTGAGCGCCCTCGTTCTGCAGCGTCCTGTCTCAGTTGCCTTATCATTTTCACAAACATATGGTGGGCACACCCACAAGTATATAACACAACTCAGAAACTCGCTGAAATTAACGAACTATGTCGTCGTCTACTTTGCATTTGGCTTCAGCAATAACCAGGCGATTCCTGTATGAGCGCAATCCTAGAATTCCCAGTTCCAAATCTCCTGCGTTTTCCAACCCTCATCCTTATCACTGCAATTACAATGCGGCAAATGGCAAATTGGCAATGAACAATGCAAGCTTCAAAACCAAACCCAAAACGCAGCGTCGTCGATTCTTGTGCACTTCTCAACTAGCAGAGTATGCCCCAACTACTTCTGCAGTGTACGGGTTCCTGCTCCTCAGCGGTGGTCTATTTGCGTGTAAGCTCTTCATTTATTTTTATAAAACAAAGATATCTTCTTTTTTCTTTAGTTTTGCTTAATTTTCAATCAAAGGAGTTTTTTGCTTGCAGATGCGAGATCAGGAAGCAAGGGGTCAATTCTCGGCGGGGTTTCAGGAGCAGCTCTGATGGGCACTGTAAGACTCTTGCTTTCATAGTGACAAGTTACCAACGCTGAACTGTGTTTTAGTTCCAAGTTTTCACATGCTGAAGATTTTAATTTAATTTATTTTTTTGGGTAATTCCATTTTTTGGTTAATTTCTTGTTCATAATGGGTCAAAGAGAATCTAATCTTTAGGAACTTTGAGAAACAAATGTTGGGGTGCCTCCATGTTTCAATGCTGGCAACCTTCATTGGCAGCCTTTATTTATGATGCATTTGGAAACGTTGCATTTCCTGTTTCCAACCATAATGACTATACTGGTATTACACTAGACAAGCCACAGAAGTTACAGATTTCTGTAAAGGAGCAGCCGCCTGAAAAGAGGGCCGTGTGTTTGCTGTATTGACGAATGATACATTTAGTTTCTATCTCCCTCAGAATAGCAGAAGATAAACTTTGTTTCCGGTGTTCCGCAGATGAGCTTCCTTACACCGAATGAACTACACCAGGGAACCATACTCTTGCTTTTCATTTCACTGATTAGTGTGGAAGAATGTCTATCAAAATAAGCACAATTCATCGTTTTAGTGCCACATTCTGTTTTTGTTCATCTAAATGAGCTTCCTGTTCCTTTCTATTTCCTTACCTTTTTGAGATGGCTGTAATTTTTGTGGTATGCTTGTAGGCTTACTATCTGTTGCAAACACCAGAGACAAAAGCTATTGGTGATGCCCTTGGGTTCGGATCAGCATTCCTTTTCGCTTCGGTATTTGGTATGCATATGCTACGCTTTTTGTTCAAGATGCCCTTATCTTTTGGGGTGGATGTGCTCTAATAAGAAAAGAGGCAAATTGGTGTGGGCTTGTGATATGATTGGGCTTCTCGCGCAAGTATAATTGGCGCCTTCGTTTTGAGCGCCCTCTTTCTGCAGCGTCCTGTCTCAGTTGCCTTATCATTTTCACAAACATATGGAGTGCACACCCACAAGTATATAACACAACTCAGAAACTCGCTGAAATTAACGAACTATGTCGTCGTCGTCTACTTTGCATTTGGCTTCAGCAGTAACCAGGCGATTCCTGTATGAGCGCAATCCCAGAATTCCCAGTTCCAAATCTCCTGCGTTTTCCAACCCTCATCCTTATCACTGCAATTACAATGCGGCAAATGGCAAATTGGCAATGAACAATGCAAGCTTCAAAACCAAACCCAAAACGCAGCGTCGTCGATTCTTGTGCACTTCTCAACTAGCAGAGTATGCCCCAACTACTTCTGCAGTGTACGGGTTCCTGCTCCTCAGCGGTGGTCTATTTGCGTGTAAGCTCTTCATTTATTTTTATAAAACAAAGATATCTTCTTTTTTCTTTAGTTTTGCTTAATTTTCAATCAAAGGAGTTTTTTGCTTGCAGATGCGAGATCAGGAAGCAAGGGGTCAATTCTCGGCGGGGTTTCAGGAGCAGCTCTGATGGGCACTGTAAGACTCTTGCTTTCATAGTGACAAGTTACCAACGCTGAACTGTGTTTTAGTTCCAAGTTTTCACATGCTGAAGATTTTAATTTAATTTATTTTTTTGGGTAATTCCATTTTTTGGTTAATTTCTTGTTCATAATGGGTCAAAGAGAATCTAATCTTTAGGAACTTTGAGAAACAAATGTTGGGGTGCCTCCATGTTTCAATGCTGGCAACCTTCATTGGCAGCCTTTATTTATGATGCATTTGGAAACGTTGCATTTCCTGTTTCCAACCATAATGACTATACTGGTATTACACTAGACAAGCCACAGAAGTTACAGATTTCTGTAAAGGAGCAGCCGCCTGAAAAGAGGGCCGTGTGTTTGCTGTATTGACGAATGATACATTTAGTTTCTATCTCCCTCAGAATAGCAGAAGATAAACTTTGTTTCCGGTGTTCCGCAGATGAGCTTCCTTACACCGAATGAACTACACCAGGGAACCATACTCTTGCTTTTCATTTCACTGATTAGTGTGGAAGAATGTCTATCAAAATAAGCACAATTCATCGTTTTAGTGCCACATTCTGTTTTTGTTCATCTAAATGAGCTTCCTGTTCCTTTCTATTTCCTTACCTTTTTGAGATGGCTGTAATTTTTGTGGTATGCTTGTAGGCTTACTATCTGTTGCAAACACCAGAGACAAAAGCTATTGGTGATGCCCTTGGGTTCGGATCAGCATTCCTTTTCGCTTCGGTATTTGGTATGCATATGCTATGCTTTTTGTTCAAGATTTTTGCCTGGCCATCTCTGTATTTAGTAACAAGTGTGTGCATAGTGACTTGAATTTCTGCTATGATCTTATACTTAGAATGGAACCTCAACTCCCTCTAGAAGTCTTCTTTATTTTCCAATTTTCTCTAAATGGTTTCAGGTATACGATTAGCCGCCACCCGGAAACTGGCTCCTGCAGGCCCTCTGTTAGCTCTTTCTCTTAGTGCATTGGCTGTGTTTATATCAGCATATCTACAAGATAGTCACTAATCCTAATGTTACTTAGAAATCGTGTATCTCGTGTGAATGTGATGGAGACTTGACTTGTAAGGTATCTTTCGAATTCAGTTTTCGTGTTCCAACTCTTTTCTCTGTTTTGGGTTTGAATTCTGACTTGGTGCTAACCTCTTTTTAGTACGAGTGCTTCTATTATTTTCGGCTCTCACCGCCATTATACTAACTCCACCCACCTAATTTTTCTACTTACCACAATTTTCTTTTGAAAAGACACCACATTGATTACACGCTCCTCAAATAATTTAAACATCACACTTAACCCTAATTTTTCTTTAAGTGCGTTATACAATAGTTTAAGCTTAGGACGAAAACACAAAACCAACAAATTACAAGAAACCGACGATAAATGCGAAATTTGAATAACCCAATAATATGAGGATTTAATAACTACAATAATTTGATTAATTGTATGGTTCAACAAAAAAGGCTACATCCCCCCTCCCTCATTTTCTTTGGGTTTCTAACTAAAAATAAGAATAATTTGAGATTCGTTTGTCCCATCAAATACATAGTTTTCACAAAATTCCAAATATCAACCGATGCATACCCATAATACAATGTCTTTCCTTATGCCTATCCATATCATTGTGCACAAAGTCAGAAACTTCTGGTGATGCTTGTGAGGAAGTGACCTACTGTTGGTGTTGCTTGGTTCATCATTCTGATTGTGGCTGGCAACAACAAACACCCATAAAGTTCATGTCCACTTCCTTGAAAAGAAGGCAGAAAAGGAAAAATGGAAAAGAAAAATAATGGACTTTCTCAAGAGTTGAGAATCATTTTGAGTATCTTCTACTCAACAATCACCATCCCAAAATTTCTTGTACCGCACAAAATAAATTATTAAAACTTTAATGTCACAATGTCTTAGTTGTTCTTTCTTTTTCTTATTTCTATTTTTATTTTATTTTAGGCAATGGAATCAAGTATTTAATAGTCAAACCACTCTAGCTTTCTCACATGCAATCATCATACTTCAAGCTAAAAGGAAGCATCAACTATCCACTTCACCAGTCCAACCAGTCCAAAGTGATTTTTCATGGGTTTTGTGGGGCATAGAACTAGAAATTAGGGTTCCATTGACTGGCTGCAAAAAAAGTTTCAAATGAATCAGATTGAATGTCTTTTTTTAGTATTAAATTCTGCTGCAATGTGAACCCACTATATTGGCCATTAGGAAGGGTCTCATTTCACTTTTGGGTTTGTACATGGGGAAGGGGTTGGATTTTGTCTGTTTCTCTGTCTTTCTTTGGATGAAATTAGGAATAGTTGGCACTCCCAAACAAAATATCATATCTACCTGCATCTCCTCCTCTAACAATGGTTCTGAGTTAAATTGGGGAACAGAAAAGAAGGGTGGGATTTTGTGACACTTCATTAATATCAAAATTTCCAACTTTCATTATTGAAGAAGGCCCCCCTCTCTCTAAAGGTTATCACCTAACTTTTGTCCGAAAGTGCTGCAGATCAACTGGATCATGAGTTTGGAATGGAACATTCATGAATCACGATCAAAACCAAATATTCCTAAAGAGAAGACCAGTGATTGAATTGAAGACATCAAAGTTAGTGGGAAGTTATGTCCTTATAATCTACCAAACATAAAAATCAGTAATAGTCAAATCCCTTGACAGTATTTGATTAATTCAAATCCGAGTCTACTTTAAACCTAATCTATTACCGGCAGAAAAGTCTATTCAAGAAGCTAGTGTCTCGTAAACTTTGTAAGTTCTCATAACGAGCGAAAGATTCCCCTTCAACTTGGCTGGAAGGGGTTTCCATTTTTGAAATTAAAAATCAAATTTGGTGAACACAACTCAAATGTGTGCAATCAGTCACCAAACAAAAAGGAATGAACATAGAAAATCAAAATCAGGGAGGGGCACCATTTCCCATTACACACATGCAGAGCCACAGACATCGTGAGGATAATATATTCCTGTTTGATGCTACCAAGTTAGCTTTACTCGGTAACCAAGAGACTAAGCTAAGGAAGGTGATTAGGAACTTATTAATCAAGTATTCTCTGATTATTCTCTGATTATGCTTGCTATGTATGAGGCACGATCAAATACTTAATTAAATTAGAGTACCATATAGCCTGGTACACGAATCTTCCCATGAAAATAGGATTTTGTGTGAGCAAAAAGTGTCATCGACTCCACTCAAAAACCTAGGAGTAGAGAAGAGATAATCAATAATTAAATTAAGGGTTGGCGCTCGAGAAACTTCCTTGTCCCGATTTCACTGCTCCTCTCTTTCTATCTCTCTTTTCAGGATCCCATGATGTTAATCATATAATTAAGAAGTGACACTTAATACTTATTAATCCAAACAATAATTGTTAACGACTATAGTGGTGTGTTTTTTTTTGGGTGCCCCATATACATTATGCATTTTCATTTATATATATATATATACTTGTGCTATGAGCATGTTTTTCTGTACAAATATATGTATTGTTAATTAAAAACTTGGAGAGTTGAAAATAGTTATGATTATTTAAGAATTAATCTGTCTGAAGTGTGACAAATATAATTAATTAATTAATATAACACCCCATACACACGGTGAGGAGGAATGTATGATGGATCAGTCACTCATAACCACGTCTGGGGGCCAGATTATTTTTTAAATTAGGACCCAACTATGCAGGGCTCATGATATATATAGCTGTCTTATAACTTTAAGTATTGGTATTAATGGTAATGATTTCTTTGAAAACAATCCATGCATTATGTAAAATTAATGTGAACTAAATTAAACACGTTTGACTTCACACATTATCAAAAAATTTATATATGTAGTTAGTTGCCATTAAATTTTAAAGATTGACTAATTAAATTGAATTGTTCATATATGAGGATGGGGAGGTTATTTGACTTTCACCTTCCCATTACTATGGCTAGCTAGGAACATGGAAGTTTGACAAACTGTTTGATTGGACCAACCCTAGGATGATCCACAAAGAAAAAAAAAAGGAAGAAAAACTAGGCATCAATTGGGTTTTCTTAACCTGCATATATGAATGAAGGGTGCATCTTTGATGTAAAATTCGTACTTAGGAAGAAAACAATTTAAAATATCGCGATTAGTTTATACTGTGAGAGAGAATGGTGAATTCGTCGTTTTAATGGTTACGGATGCGTTCATGTTAAGTACGGAATTCGAATACTACAAAAAATTGTGGTAAGTAATTTATTGCGAGTCTAATCAATCATCTACATAAGCATGCTTGCATGATTGGAATCATATTCCTCTTATGTTATCGGCACAAATTCTGCTAAAAACAAGTTGCACATTAACAATTTTACACCCCACAGCTTTACTTGTTCTTCAACAAAACGGATCAACAAAAGAAGGAACGAAGCACGAAAATATATATACCGACAAGGGAGACAACTTTTGAAGGTGCAGGCTGTAAGAAGAAAAGCAGGGTACGTAGAGGCCTGAAGCCTATTGGCCGCCATGGCAACTTGATTCAACTCAAGAGATGAAACTCTGCGACTTTTTCTGGAAGTTAGATTCAATAATGCATGACATGAGGAAACAAGGACATACATATCTGTATTTGGAATATTCGTCCAGATATATTTAATAATTCAATTAAATAGTGATTGGTTTTGCTTAAATAATGGATTGAAAATGAAAAAAAAATAATTAAAAATAATTAAAAAAAGAAAGTCTATGGTTTGTTTAATACATGATTGGGTGGGTGGTGGGATTATTATACTGGACCAAAAATAGGCGCTTTAAACAGAGTTTCACAGGGCCATGTGGGTCCTGCTCTGGTCATGAAAGATGCCCATTGGCCAATTGCAATTTGCACTTCTCATCGGAGTCAATGAATAAAAGCGTGCACAAAATGTGGCTCATACGCAATTTTAGCCTTAGGGGTGAGGCTTTTATTTTATTTTATTTTATTTTATATTTTTTAATCAATGAGCAATGGGATGACAAAAGAGCCGGATATGCCATTACCATCCCTATCTCGGGTTTTACTTTTACTTTCGTTGAGTAATAAGTTCTCTCCCCCTTAACGAGAAAGAAGTATTATGAGATTAACGTATGTATATGTCCAATTTTTCGGCAACTGAAATATAATTTAGACAAATTAATACATATAAAAACTATGATATTAAGTAATATCATAAATTTGAAATGAGAAACCATAACACCAAACAAATTGGATCCACTAAAACAATGTGTACTCTAAATGAGACAGAATTTGGATTGGGATTATTAGAAATTTTTCCCAAACATGGCCCTATACCGGTTTCTATCATTCATACCCGATTCCATTACCGACAAAGCCCTTTAATCCTAACACGGAGAAAAAATTAAGAACTCGAAAAAGAAAAATATCAGTAAACTAAAAAGCTAATCCATCACGGCAGTGAGTGGGGTTGGCTGTGGTCTGGTCTCAGCGAGGTTTGCGGGTGGTACTGTCAGTGACATTAGCATTGTACAGAAAGTATACGAAGCTGTTAAAAAAATGGATGCCATGGCCCAATGGAGGCATTGACTTTTGCCTTATTTAAAATAAATTTGGGTGAGGTTGGAGTTTGGACTGCCTCGGTTTCCTCTCTATATAAACGCCTCTGCATTAATCCCAACACTGACTTGGTGACTGCCTCTGAGTTATATTTCAATCCCCACGTCATATACCTCTATCTTCAGCTCACCTCCATTATTGTAATTCCTCTGTTTCTTTGTCTCCTTTCTCTTCTTGTTCTTGTTCTTCTTCATCTCTGGCCTAAGTTTCAGTTTCAATCTTCAGCCTCTTTTTATGAAAAATCCTCTGTATTTCTGAAGACTCTGTTTTTGAACCTGGATCCTTCCATTTCCCCCAATCTTCCTTAATAACACATCAAAAAAATCATTTCCATTATGTAATCCAGTCTTTTCAATTCAATCCCACAAAACCCATTTCTCAAAAAAACCAAAAAAAATTTCAATTTGATTGCTTGTATGAATCTTTAGAGTTATCTGTATAGTTGGCACTCTGGCTCTGCTCGTTTCTTCTATCCCTTAGCAACACATTTATAAAAAAACCTCCAAAGTATGTAACTTTCAGCCTTCCCATATCCAAAGTCCCCAACCCAAAAACCAAAAAAA